TCATAGGCTGGTTTCTGTGAACCAGCAACTATGCGGTTGGCTCTTGCATAGGGGTCCAAGACCTGACCTAGAGAGTGATATGAGTGTTTCATTACTATATAACTGATGCAGCTTGGAAAAAGGCATACGTAGGTATGGTGATGCAGAGCCTGAGGCGTTGCAGGGATTCCCAGACCTATCGTGTCTAGCACGATCGCTCCGCCTCTTTATCAGGTAAGATTCATCAAAATGAGAAGAAGAAAGAAGAAGAAAAGCAGCAATATTGCGCGGTGAAAGTTTTCAAGGCTGCATAACGTGTCAACAGGAACCTGCATATTCACTACAGTAACCAATTGATATTAGACTATATTGGCTTTAATTGTACGACCTGGAGGGAAGTATAGTATTTATATATTATAAAGCGGAATAGTAAATTGCGAAGTTTTGGCACTAAGCTTAGGATAGTGTTTTTATCTTTATGTTTATTCTAATATCATACTACAGCATGGGCAGGAAGACCTAAGGTAAAGAGGAAAGGTCTAAGTAGCAAATTAGAGGCAAAGAGTAACAAGTTTAGGTTAAAATGAAATTGATCCACAGTTGAGAGGAGCATGGTGAAATGGAAGGCATAGGCAATCCAAAAAAGACTTCATCGGGTTCCCCATCAAGCTTCACGGTTACTTACAGTTGATAACACGCGTCCACAGCCTAAGCTCGCCGTCATTGTTGAAGGACTTCGAGATATCAATCAGCGCGCTCGGTAGCATCTCAAGCGCTTGGAAGGAGGTGAAAATCGGCAAGCCAGGGATGATCGTCAACTCGCGCGGATACTACTGCATAGGGTTTTACAGCCTCGAATCCGTGACCAATATGGCGAAACATCTTCGCCAGAGGATACGAAGCAGCGGAATCCTACGTCGCGAAAAGTAATGAAGCCAGCTCAAATATGATGACGCATTATCCCCTCCTTTCACAAGTCATCTACAGTTCACAGCGTAACCCTGATTAACTTGTCAGAGTAGCGCCTTGCATAACGACCAGGGTTATTCTTCCCTCAGTATGGCAGGCCGGAAAGATAGACTTTTGCATCTACCTTGCTCTAAAAGACCACATTAAAGATATCGCGACGACACGAGGTACTCTACCGTCTGAATATATCTACCACATAGACTACTACTCCCTGCGGAACCGCACTACTGCTCTTGACATCGAGGCAAAAGGCTGACTCTATAGCCGCAGCAAGATCAGCAGAATTACAAGTCGGAACATGGCAATCATCCCAATGGTATTTCTTCTCCAACCTCGCCTCGCGAGCCGGCAGATCCCCTAAAAGTCTATGCTTGCAGGCCATTATCATACAAGATCATCATTGGTGGAGTTTTGTAGCAACGATGCGAGGGAAAGACAAGACGGTGCTATGGTTCCCTTTTTAGTTCGGCTATATAGATAATATTATCTGGGCTCATTCAACGGTCCTTGGCATACACGAGATTTGTATGTGGATTGAAATGGAATTTTGGTTAGGTTAAAGGAATAATGCACTGGTGAGTGGCCTAGAAAGGGTTGGTGTCTTTGTAGCGCAGTGAATACCTTGAATCCTACAGGGTTTCTTTGTTCTTGTAAACCTCACAAGCAAAGAATATGCTAAACATTTTCTTCAGCAAAGACACAAACATTGCTGTAGAGTAGTGAATGCCAAAGCTGCAGGTTTTCTTTGTTCTTATAAACCTCATAAATAAAGAACATGCTAAGCGATGTATTCAGCAAAGACATACTAACGCAGCCATAATTGCAAACTGCATAAGACGGTGAATTTCAGAAACTGACATATCGTCCTTATCGTAGATATAAACTCAGCGACGCTTGGGAATTTCTCTTCCTCAAAATTCCTCGTAGACATTTACACATCACACTCAAATAGAGGCTATTATTAAGAACCTAGAGCAACCAATCCGAATCATAATGATGTTTCGCATCTATCCTCTTCACTGCTATCTCCCTGATGGTGTTGGCCTCCTCACCGAGCTTGCTCTTCTGGCCGGTAAGTATCAGACAAAGAATCCGAATACATAACTAACAGCCTTCAGAGTCCATCGGTTGTCTCGCACAGGCACTGTACCTCGTTCTTGTTGTCCTTCATGGTTTCGGATATGGCGGAGTGGATACTAATCGCTGGAAGATCACCTTCTTGCCTACAGCCATGGTCATGTTTCGACTTGCTAGTGAGGCGCGGGATTTGGCCATGAGCTGCGTCTAATGCGTATGATGTTTGCCTTGGTCCTTTGTGATGGCAGGTGGACGGCTACAACGCGAAAAATGGATATAACTCCTCAGAGCTGCGAATGAGGATTGGCGGCTGGTTGTTGGTCGCAGGATGCCGACGCGCGAATAAAGGCGAATTGAGCCCAGCAGAGCGGATCTTTTGAATGTTATGCGATTTTGAATGTGCAGGAATTGATGCGGCTGGAGTTATGAGAATCAGGACCGTCGAGGTGAAGGGACGCAAGAGATTGACGTTTGTACATCTGGTTACATCATGGAGTTATTCCAGCTCCCCATCGTCGCCAGAGTCAATCCCTCCACAATGTAAGTATACGGCGTTTATCATTTCGTGGATACTAAAGTAGCATTTTGATGTGCCTAATATTGGCCGTGTAGGCTGTAAGTAAATACACTGCTAACAATAAAGGTGTATTTCTTCACGAGGTCAGTTGCCAATACATGGTGACTGGATCGCAGTCTGGAACCTGGTTCGAACCCGCAGATTTGCGCGAGTTAGAACCTTCAGAGAAACCATGTTCCAGCCTGCTTCGCGCCTCGAAGGTGTGACGGCGGCGATGATTCACAATGGGAATGTGTTTCGGTGTTTTGATCCGCTTGTTTGTTTAGTGAAGGGGGGATTGGCCTAATAAGGTTAGCGCATCTAGCGATAAGCTGATAAGCATCCTCTGGCGACGGGTTAAACTAAATACGGAATTAGTACAGCCAATCAGAATTTAGATAGGGATTAAGCATAAAATAACAATATAACCTTACCCTGCAGAATTCGAGGATATGAAGAATAACCTTTGGCATTATCCTGAGATGGAGTATATAGAGCCTGGTGGCAATACATGTCTTGGAGGTAATCGAGAAGGACTGGGTTAAGCTTTTTAGACTTATATACACATTGCATTAGCAGAGTTAAGAGGAGCCGAGGTACACATGCGACTTGGTGATCTTTTGTATTTGGGTTGTTGCGAATACGATGGCAGCAGCCGGAAGGTCACGTTTTGATTTAAGAATCGGATCTTCTAATCATGAAGTGCCGAGTGGAGGGACATCCAAATCTACGGGAACCCTGTTTCGAAATACATTTATATTCACTGGCATCATGCCGTCCTCTTGCACGTGGTCGATACGCCCCAGTAGGCAAACTGATTCTAGCCAACTTTCCGCTTACCGCTCCGAAGATAGCCAATAACGAAGACAGCTCTAGTAAGCCATGCTTTCATTAATAGGAGAAAAGAAAATAAGGCGGCGCAGTCGTTTCGGAGGCGGCCGGACCGAGGAAGGCTAGTCGTGGCGAGCGGTCTTCCGGGGATCTATATGTTGACACCCGAACCCTTGAAGAGCTTCTCTACCTGCAGTGACATCAAGTCGCAGAAATCTCTTACTGTCGTCTCCATGATGGTGCCCTTCACCAAATCGCACTGCTTCCTGGTTTATGGCCAAGGTGATTGTGTCTTGAGGTTGTTGCAGTATAGGGTTAATCCCAGAAAGATTATTTAGAAGCATTCGACGAGAACAGCGTGACAGGTGATTAACTTGCGAGCAATTGGCGTAACCATGAGAAATTGCCGCGCATCCTCCAGAGAGCGAGTGGACCAGCATTAGTACCTCACAGTCATGAAAGGTCATTACCGACCAACATCCAGATCGGATATGTGACCAGACATACCGGTCAGATCTAGCCCTAACAAGAATATACGAAAAAAGACACATCTCTCGCTAGAGAGTATCGATGGTCTTTCTTTTGTCATCGCCATCCGCTCTGTCATCCGCAGTCCTGGCTTACATCATGGAAGGCTTACCGAATCTGCCGTGTAGAACACAAAGACAACGATCAAGGCGAAATCTGAGCAGAGCAGGATACGCAAAGTGAATAAGATCAACCTGCACTACCCTGATAGTCTAGTATGATTCGCTAGCCTAGAATGTAACATTTGGTTCCATGTCAAGTACGTTATGCGACCAGAGACGCTGATAATTGTCGCCGCTATGAAGACAAATGCCGTGTTTGCGATGCCCCTTTCTCAATCGCTATTGACTCTCCTCAATGCAATCGTCACCAAGATATCCGAGAATATCAAAGAGATGATTATTGTAGTAAGAATGAGATATCCCAAGACTTCCCCTGCTTACTTCGCCAATTCTATATCATAAAGAGCTGGCAAAGGCTTGGTTGAGGAGACCATGCTAGAAAGCCTGCCATTGCTGGCACGCCAAGTTACATGTGACAGCGCTATGATAGCACATCCGTGATTGTTTCCGAGAAGCGAGCCCGTGCGTTTGGCGCTCGGATGCATTCCTGCTACACCTGAACTCTGTTGCACGGGCTCACAGCAGCAGATCCTGCCAAACATTCTTTCCACCTTCTGTTTCTGGAGCTTTACTCCACTCTCATTGTCCTGAATAGTGAGATGAATATTTGTTTGAAACAACCTGGCGGCTGAACATGGCAGCTGAACCTGACAGTCCTGACTCTCGAGCTAAGAGGCCTTCCTAATGGGGTATAGTCACAGAAACGTTTGGTCATCGCACCATTTTTTGAAACACGGTTTCTCAGGGCATGCATCTGTGTATAGCGCAGTGTCAAAGATATCTTTAGATAGCAGTCTGTTAGCGAACATGTGATTGCTCGCAGTCTGTTGGACTCTTATAATAGAAATATATATATATATATATATAGTATATACCTGACCTCTAACAGTTACTTACTCACTTATCTTGTTTCTTCACCACTCGTTACTTCTTTCAAAATGCTGACCACTTTGATTCTTTCTGCCCTGGCCTGGAGCCACTTGACGCAAGCCCACGGAACAATCACCAGAGTGATAGGTGCCAATGGTGTAGTTATGCCAGGACTCACTAGTCAGTACATTCCTACGAAACTTGGACCTGGTGCTAACGTTCATAGTCCTTGACGGAACTCCTCGATCTTCTACCTCTGCTGCTTCCGGCGCGCAGGTAGATACCAGCGTGATCCGTGACCCTGAACTCGCCACCAGTAAAGCCTCCGCTCTTGGTCGGACTAGCAAAGGTCCAGTCGACGGCGCTCGCGTCATCAAGACGTTCATGCATGGCCTCAAGGGCCGGTCCCTTGCTAATACTATTCTCGGGGGTGGAGAAGAAGGTATGGCGCCACGGCAAGCAACGGATGGCTCTTGGTGGCTGACACTCTATAGCTACGAGAGAAGTCGTATCTTTCGTGACCGGCAACGCTGGTGCAGTTGTGAATGGTAGGCTTTCATTGAGATCTTTATACCGAAGTTTCTGATTAATAACTTGCTTCAGGCGTGCAAGACGGAATCGAAAGCTCCCCAGTGGGTGACTTGGCTCTGGGTAAGTCGGCATATAGCAGCTGGTAATGTGGGTCATATGCTAATGGATATTAGGAGCTGAGCACACAGTCAATGGTCTTCTGGATGATTTCTTCCAAACCGCAAAGGGAGTTCCATCTCCTCGAGGATACATCGAAGACGGCGTCAAGAAGTCTGCCGGAGCTGGTGCCAAAACTGGGCTGCCAACCACAGCATCCGACGGAACTCTAAAGTTGATCTATCATCAGGTTCGTGAGAAAGACCCTCATTCATGATTTGTATTAACGATTCTGCTTTAGGTCAATGAGGACGGCGCTGGCCCCCTGTTGGTAGACATCGACTTCACCTCAGGAGGGACCGATCCAGCAGCTTTCAAGTCCGCTGAGGTGGTTCAGAACATCGTCGGCGTACTGGGCTTTTCGACCGTGAGCTCAACTGACTTCCCGGTTGTTGTCAAAGTACCTGTTGGTCAGGTTTGTTCTGGTGTATGCATTGCAAGGGTGCGAAACAGTGCTACTGCTGGGCCTTTTGGCGGCGCAGCTGCCTTCACTCATCATCCGGAGGTTGCCAAGGGGAAGAAATCCAGCGCAAAGTTCCGTCACCGCCATGTCTGATTTCGCAAGGGTCATTGAGCGGCCTGGCGTATACTGGAATGGCCTAGTGTCGTGTCTTAGACTAATTGTTTGGATAAGTTTCTCATATTTAAGGAATTTACTGTTGCACCTTTCTTGTGCTTTATAAGCTATAGTATATTCTTAATATATAACTATACCCTTTAATCCTTAGAGGCTGGTATAAGTAGCTTTATTGATCTTTGAAAGAAACTTAATATGATATTTTGAGTGCCTTAGAGCTGATCTGAATTTAATCCTTATATAAGTCTGCTTATCTATCTGATTTAGGCATTTAATAACAGCAGTGTAATACGTAATATCAGGATTAGTTAAATATATTTTCTATAGTCTATCTCTTAAATTACATATACTACTCTAGGCATATACCTTAGATTAATAAAAGCCATATCTTAACAGATACTTTAAATGCACTAACCTGCAATTCGGGGAATTTAGCGTTAAATGCCTTAGGGCATGACTGAAGGGTTATAGTATAAGGGGCCGAAGATAGTGTTCTCTAGGAGATTGAGATAATCTTTTAGAAGCTTCTAGGAGCGGTAGCTATTATGTAAAGGTAAGACTAATTTGACCTAAGATAGGATAGAGAACTAGATAGCCAGCTTAAGGAAAGAATTAATAGCATTAAACTAGTTGGAGCCTAATAAAACCTTTTATAAATAGAAGAGCCTCTCCCTAGTCCTCTATAATTCTTTTTAAGTAAGTTTAGATACCTTAATGAGCTTTCTATTGTTCTCTGGTCGGGTAAAACTTGACTGGAATGCCAAACGCGCTCGTTACTGCATCATGTAGTTGGTTGCCGGAGACTGTCCATGTACGAGCAGCAAGATCCGCCGCCAGGAAGCTGTACCTAACTAGCTAGACCTTGCTGCCGTATTTCCAGGTGTCCCAGGCTAAGACGAGGTTACCAGGAACTCCCCCTCATTTTGGAGCTTATGGTATCAAAAGTAGGCTGTATAAGATGACTGTTGGATCTTGAATTGGTGGCTATGGAGTTAGTAACTTCGCAAAAACAAGAAGAGGGATAGAAACCTGAATTCAACTTTATCCTCTTTTTGCCTATCTATGTGTTGTGGTTCTTTCAGTTATCTAAAAGTATGGATGATGGGATGTGGTGTTTTTTTCCATAGCCTGCAGACAATCCCAGTGCTCAACAATACACGATCCCTTGGTCCTATAAACATCAAAGACATTTGTCAAAGACCCATTAGCGCCCCCAGCCTTGATATGAATCGTCGTATACTCCGGCCCTACCATAACACGCGCAATCTTGCACGACCATGTCAGCTGCACATACATATAAAGCCATCAGAGATCAAAAACATACCTCAAAAGTATTCTCTTTAGAGCCAAACAAAGGTGACAGTATCTTAATAGCTGCATCTCTCCCATCCGGAATGCTGGGGTTGTGCTGCACGTAGTTGCTTGCTACGTAGCGCTCAAATGCACGCCTGACGTTTTTTTCCGTATAAAATGTATATGCAAAATCGTTCATAGCGGTTTGAATCATTAATTGGCTGAGATCAGGACTAGTGGTTGAAGGACAGTCCCAGAGTGTTACATTGCTGGTGCTAATGCCGGCAATTTCGACGACACGCTGCGTATTTGTTGCTGTCGCTTTGTTGATAGACATGAGCAGTGCGCTCAGCATTAATGAGTTCATAATCATGTTTCAAGATTTCATAAAGTAGGTTGGCTGATTTAACGTCCTGTGAAGAACAAGTGCGATAATCATTATATATTTGATCAGACGGACTACTAAAGCGACGAATTATCAAGAGTCTGGGGGTGGAGATCCCGAGCCGGTCCGAACCGAACTATTAAGGTTTATGCCGGGTAGGTGGAGGAGAGCTAAAAACTAGCATAGCGGACTTGAGCTAGATAGCAGCTACTGCCACGGCTTCATCCGTCTTCGAACTCGCCAAGAAGGATATGGGCAGGAAGCTGGGTTCGTCTCCCCTCTAGACAAGATCATAAACCATCCAGATTTAAAGAACGAGGTAATACTTCAGGCTTGTAAACGGTGAGGAATACAGGTCCTGGCATCAGCGGTAGGAAGAATGAAAGCGCTCGTAAGTAGATACCCAGCTGCCAGGTGTACCCGATCGCATCTACTATTGTTTAAACACGACACTGCGATATGAGGTTGGAGCAACTGTGAAGATCACTGGTTTTGCACGTGCATGAATAGAAAGTCACGGTGTTGTTCTGAGAATGGATGTAAGTTGGGATTGTGGCATGTATTACGAAGTACGGGATAGAAGTTGATAATAAAAACCCAACAGAATCCCAGCCAAGATAGAATACAGCCTTGCCATCGATAAACCCCGCCGCTCAGTGTACATCTTTCGAAGACCGTGTTCGGAAGACAGCAGCCTCATCGAAGTGCGGAAGAAATAATGGTACCTATCGACAGTGGTATGAATCATTGAAGATGTAGAAGAGAGTAGGTAATGCAGAGTGATCGAGGTATCGTAGTTGTATAGAGCGCCCGGAACAAAGTTAAAGACACATCACTAGGAGCGATCGTTTTGGCTATCATGGTTAGCTCCTCTGACAAGACCATATCGAAAGCTTGATGACTTACCTCTTCTGCCATTCTTCAATCGCGACAGGGCATATCTTCTGCATTCTCGCCTCCGGCTCCCAGTTCGCTTCCCGACGCGAGAAGCCAACCCACTGGACCTTGTACTGGCGCTTGTTGTTTTGGAACCGCTCAGCGATGATGTGGAATACGTGGAAGACGCCAAGACCGGTGACTTTTGCTCAACCACCACGACTCTTCCAATACTTGAGGACAAGCTGCTCGTCTGCGTCTTGAACGACGAATTCGCCAAACGAAGCACCTTCCCAACGTCCCTCGGGGTGATCGGACCACTCGAGAAAGAGTTAAACGCGCTGGTTGAGCCGACTGACGAGATGGCTGGTGATGCGGCGATGGGTGGCCTTGATGAAATCTCGGATGGGTTAGTGGTTACCGAGAATGAGGGCAGATAACGTACCTTCGAAAGAGGGAGCAAATTCCGGCATTTTGTAGGATGTGAATGGATAAATATCACTGAATTGTGGTTATGGTAGCCAATATGTAGAAAGATGTTATGCAATGGGAGATTCTGGGAACTCTGAGCCTGACTCTGGCGGGGAATTGTGTCGTATTTATCTACAACTGCCAGACGGGCCCAGCCATCCTCAGTGCCTGCAGCCGTTTGACATGTAACAGCCGTTGCCGTGATTTTGATATTGTTCTTGAAATGAATAGAATCTGAAGCAGCCACACGGGAACTATACTTAAAGTAGGGTTGAATGTTTGGTAGCTGATGAAGAGGCCTGGCTTATTCAGGTTAGTTCAAAAAACAGCCCTGGCTCAGCCGTTGGAGCATTCAGTGCACCTTGTGATTGTTTGCGCCATGCAATCCCATGCACCTCCGGCATGTTGCACTTGCTAAGCAGGGACTTTGACAGATAGCTCCATAATATTGATTAAACATGTCACGTTTTGCGCGGCTCAAGGTTGTCTTGGGGTTGGAGACTTCTTTAAAAGATCCTGATGATCGACTTGACATCTGTAACCATGTATTCCTGGTATATCAAGACTAAAAGGGAGATTTCAGGGTACTGTGAAAGCTAGCACTCTGGAAATCAAAAGGATGCTGCTCACGTATCAAACTTAGACAAGAGCGCGATGTAAGATTGCAATTGTTACACAAGTCGACGCAGCAACAAGATCAATTAGAGATGCTTGCATAGTAACATAGATATCCTTGCAAGCAAGGCATGCGAAATTAACGCGCTATTATATATTATCATAATCAATAACAGGAGTAAGTTAGTTTAATAGTTATTTATTATTAATGCATTAATGCGAAGTCTTTGGCTCTAGCTTGGGGTTTAGTATAGAACCTATAAGATAAAACCACTAAGGTTAACTATAAGCTTAGTTATATCTGTTAGCTTCTGATGCTACTGTAATTAAATAATAACTTTTATTATAGAGGATTTAATAGGTTTGTCTGAGAGGGTCGGTTATAATTATTAAGATAGTTAATTATTAGCTTCTAGATATAGACTAGTAGTGGGATCTACGATGATATTTAAGTCTAGGGCAAAGCATAAGGCTATTAAATATAAAAAGAAATAACTAATTATAATATTAATTAGAAAGAAGGGTATTACTACTTAATAAATCTCTAATTAAGATAACTTAAAAGAAATATTATAACAGAATAGGTTTTAAATAGGTAAACTAGTCTATACTAGGTTTAATGTTTATAGAGTTATAAGGCGTTATACTAAGTAGTTATAAAGTATTATATCTCTTAATAGTAAATAAAGCAGGTTAGGTATATTTAGGTAAAGAAGTCTTATTAATAGCTAGTAAGCCAAGATCTATAAAAGTATTAATAAATATGTTTTATATACTAATATTATAAAGTAAGAGATAATAATATATAGGGATACTGTTATCCTAGGATATAGCATTTTAGGGATAATGGCGTTCTGGTATTAGTTATTCTTATATAAACTGTATTATAATTAGTAAGAAGAAAAGTAAAATTATAAGGTATATATAATATAACTGCAGGGGTTATAACATAATCTCTCCCCTCTATTAGGTCTTATCCTTAAGACCTATATACCCTAGCTATCTTAAATTTTACCTAATATATTTTAACCTAAACTTTTTATTATTATATTATATAATATCTAACTATATTTCTAAATAGTATTTTTATAAAACTTATATAAAATATAAGTTAGAAAGACTTAAAAAGAAGCATGATATAGCGAAGCTTGCTAAATCTATTATATTATCTAGTAAATAGGCAGATATGCCATATACTTATTATTTTCGAGCAGGGACTGGAGAAAAATGTTTAATATCTCCTAATTCTAGTTAGTGTAGTGAGTATATGCGCAAGCGGAAACCTTGCAATGGTATGCAAGTAGCATCTTCTTATAAGTAATTTTAGGTTTTTCTTTTCTCTCTTTTTTTTTTTGCTGATTTTTGTGTTTTTTCTAGTATTTACTTTTATAAAATAAGAGAAAAAACTTAAGGTAGATGAGGATAAAGCTAGTGATGATCTTCTGAAGCTTTATGAGGAGATGGCGGCCTTGCAGTCTCGTCTTGCTGCTGCTGCTAGGCGTCTATCCTATATCTAGAAGATCTAGGCTAGGGTAAAGGAGAAACGTTCTAAAGCCATGCGCCGTAGTCTTTAAGAAGTTAAGAAGGAAGATAGTATCTTATCTATATTAGATGCTTATAAAGATGCTATAGTGCATGATCTTTAAGTAGATTATATTCCTAATAATACTGATTAGTTATCCTTAGGTTTAGGGGACGATTTTTTAGATATATTGCCTTTATTTAAGTTTAGTAAAAGTTCTTTAGGAGTTACTAGGCATTAATAAGGTATTTAGTTAGTTCTTATATATTTTTGCTTTTTAAGTAGTTTTTCTATTTAACTAAATACTTATATTTTCCGTTTTCTAGTTATATCTTCTTAATTGCTTTTGCTTTATAGGCTTTTAGTCCTTTAATTTCTTCTGGTTTATTGCCGGTCTTGACCTATATTGTATTAGCTGCTAATTTAAGTAGTGAAATATAAAAGATTAGATAGAGCCTACCTTTTAGTAATAGGTCTAGTTTATAATTATTTTCTAAGATTTTTCTTTTAACTTTATATAGCCTAATATACTTATAGTTTAATTTATAACTTAATTATTTTATTATAATGTTTTTTATAGCTAAGTAGACTATATCTCCCTTTAAGAAGGTTAGTCTCTTAATCCTTTTTATATTATAGTATTTTTTTATTTATTTTTTAATAAATTCTAATTTTTTCTTTAATTCCTTATATAGAGCTTTTAGGTCTTTACTCTTAATTATAGCAGCTAGGTTAACTATTTTTAGTTCTTACACTATATAATATAGGTTTAAGGTAAATTTAAAGTTTACTGCTAAAGGTATTATTTTTATACTTTTATTATATACTATATTATAAGCAAGCTAGGCACTTAGTAACTTTTCTACCTAATTGTTTTATTTATAGTTAATATAATATTATAAGTATTATTTTAATATTTAATTTATTTATTTAGTTTATCTATTTATTTATAATCTAAATGCTATTAAGAGTTAGTAGTTTAGTCCTATATATAACATTAATGCCTGCTAAAATTTACTTATAAATATTATTCCTTTATTTATTAGGATTTTATAAGGTAATCTATATTCTTTAATTATTTTATTATAAAAGATATAAGAAAGTTACTTTATATTTATATCTTCCTTATAAGGTATATAATAAGAAAGTTTAATAAGTTAATTTATTATAATTAAGATACTATTATAAAAGATTTTAGTTAAGGGTTTTTTTAATAAGGATAGCTTAGTTATATAGTTTATTATAATTAAACTTTATAGTCTTTCTACTACTTCTAGTAGTTATAGTAGGCTATAAGGTTTATATTATTATACTTTAGTTTTTATATATAAGTTATATTATTTAATAACCTTCTTTATTATCTTCCTAATTCCTTCTTAATTATAATATATCTAAATACATTTTAGGGTTTTCTTAATGCCTTAATAGCTATATAGGGGATATTTATATATATTCTATACTAGTTCTT